GGTTAAAGGGAGGGGGGTGTTGTGATATGGAGTTACGAAACATGGTGGAATAAGAGAAGATGAAGCAGGTGGTTGGTGGGTGCTCTGGTGTGATTTGCTCTTTTTTTATTCTATCAAACATATATCTGTCATCCTTATCTCTGCTCCTTTTTTGTGTGTTTGTTATTCTCTTTTAACACTTGTAGCATTTCTAATCTTTGGCACTTATATGACCTAATTATGTTGCAAATACCGTAAAACTCTTACTTAAAACTCTTATTAAAAAAGAACCAGCAGTTGGGATATTCATTAACCGAATTCTTCCGAAACCGATTTGCTGCATAAAGGCGGAAGGTAGGGGGGGGGGGCAGTATGAAATGAAATTACTAAGCACAGTAGACCAAGTTTAAGTTCTTCCAGAATTGGTAATGTTTATTAATGAATGTCATTGTGCAGACCGACCTTTGTTCCCACACTGAGGTGTGTGATGTAGAGGGCAGATACTTCACCATTTTCACGCAGCTCGGAGACCTACGTTCAACACCTAGGTGGGAAAAGTTTCTGTCGAGTATCATCTGTCTTTCTGCCAGGTTGTTTTTATCTCTATCTACCTGGGTTGGCCCTGACGCAGGGTTGAAATCGGCCTCCTAAATGATCGAAACACTGTCGATTGTTTTTTTTTTTGCACCCCCTACATTTTAAGACATGTTCCTTCATGCAACATACTCTTGCCCATAGGTGCGCCACTTTTAATTGACAGTTATATATGAGAAACGATGTCTGTTGAAAGTCGCTTGACATTAAAATTTGTTTTTAATTTCTGGTATCCCTTTTCGTGTACCTTTGGTTGAAAATGTCGAGTCCATAATTAACTTTTGTGGTCCTGAAATGGGTGATGGGGAAAGAAAGATCAGGATAATGCAAATCTTGTAAAAGAGTATTTGATTAAGGAATGAATGGAGAACCATGATCGCTGATGTCTGTCGCAGGTCTGGCACTGGATGATGAGTCCTGAAATTATAGTGAAAGTTTTACAGTACCGTGTCTAGGATGACCGTTCAATTTAGTTTCTCGCGACCTCGGTAGTTCCATCAAGCTGCTAGGTTTTTGTGGTAGAACTGTGTTTGAGCTGTTTCTTTCTGCGATTATGTTTGTAATTTGATAAATTTTATTATTTTTCTCAAGCAGAGAATAAGAACTGGGCAGTCGCTGTGCAAAAAATACATATTATTAATTAATGTACCTTTTAAATACTAATTTCCTTTGCGTGTCGATATTTTTTCAAGCTGTATTGTTCTCTTCTTGTTGTCTTTGTTGTTCGTTAAAGTTATTTTTTAAATTGATTTATCAATTGATTAGTTTGTTTGTTTTTTTCTGTTTTTTTTTGTTGTTTTTGTTTTGTTTATTTATTGTTGTTGTTTGTTGTATATCTTCAAATATATTCTGCTACCTTTTTAGACTTTTCCTTTTAATTCTCAATATTTAAATATTGTTTCTACTAACATGCCTAATTGTGCAATGTGTGTAACTGGATGACTTCATTGTATGGTTAGTTTGGGCCACATCGGCGTAGTATAATTGATGGGTTCAATTTTCAACCGATTGTGCCTTCCCTCTTTTTATTTGTTTCCCTCTTTTCATGTGCCATGCACACACAGCCCCCCCCCCCGTCTTGATCTTTGTTTCATGTTATCCGTATAGACGATTTATATTACACTCATATCATGTGTAACTTTGTTTTCTTTAAAACCCCGGCTACATTCTCCTATCTTCTTGTTCCAACATTCTTTTAAGACGTACCCAAGTTTACAGAGAGTCTCTCTTGCCAATATTCTTTCTGCCAGGTTGTTTTCTTCTCCCGGAGAGGTTTTTAATTTTAATTTTATTTTAGAAATTCTTGTCTTGATTGCTAAAGTGTTTGTTACGTCATAAGAGACATCACGTCATGTAGATTCCAACATTCTTAAGATGGATCTGAGTTTACGAGGGCTATAAAAGTGACCTGCATTATTGTAAATGTATTATTTGTCTATTTCTGTTCGGTCTATCTTTATTATTTTTACTTTTTACTATAAACAAACGTTATTTTGTTTCAAAGAACCCACAACCCCCTCCCTTTTTAACGGGAACCCCCCCCCCCAACATTATCTCACTGCCGTTGTCATTTTTTCCTTTACCATCTCTGTACTTTTCTTTCCGCTCCCTGACCACCCGCATCACGTGACCCCCTCCCACATCCTGTGACCCTGCCCATCACGTGGTCATGCACACCACGTGACCCCGCCCACATCACGTGACCACCTCCACTCACTCATCACGTGACCCGCCCGGCCACAGACTGATGAGCCAGTTCTCGTTCAGCCTGTCCAAGGACTGGGAGCTGCCCCACCAGCTGGACTCTTTCCGCCCCTTCAAGGAGGGCGTCAAGGACATGCTGGTCAAACACCATCTTTTTTCCTGGGACCTATGAGGTCAGGGGTTAGAGGTCATCTCTGCTCCTGAGACCTATGAGGTCAGAGGTTGTGGGTCAAACACCATCAATTCTCCTGTGACTTCTGAGGGGCTGATTGTCTGAGGGTTGAGGGTCAAGACTATATCTTCTCCTGGGACCTCTGAGGTCAGGGGTTGAAGGTCAAGACCATCTCCATTTTTCTTTTTTAGACCTCTGAGGGTTGAGGGTCAAGACCATCTCTTCTCCTGGGAAATATTAGGTCAGGGGATTGAGGGTCAAGACCAACGCTTTTCCTTTGACCTATGAGGGTTTAGGGATGTGGGTCAAAACCATCTCTTTTTCTGAGATCTGAGGGTTGAGGGTCAAGCACCATCTCTTCTCCTGGGACCTCTGAGGGTCTGGTGGTCTTACGCTTAGTAAGTCTTAGTATCTCAGAGGCTGGCTGTATGAGGGTCTCAGAGTTTGAGAGTCTGTGTCTGAGGGTCTGGGAATCTGAGTCACAGAGTCTGAGGGTGTCGAGAAGGATTGGTTGTGTTTGAAGCTTTGAAGCCTGGATCACTCGTGTATTGGCGTGTGTGTGTGTGTGT